TGTTTTTTTTTAATCCTTACAAACCTGGCATTGCCATATATTCCCTGAATGTGCCAACAGATTGTGAGACAGGAATGTTGCTGTGCTGAAGAGGCAGGTCCCAGCACATGCACACACAGCTGTGAGTGGCTGGAGAAGAGGCTTGGGAAGAGCAGAGCAACACTGGGAATTTGTTCAAAATTACTATTTTTGCAAAGTAGAGGGATTGTGGTGAAGGGAATGCATAATTTCTGCACTGAAAGAGATGAGAAATAAAGTAGTGTAAGGATTCTGTGTTAACTGAAATTGTGAGAGCAAGACACAGGACAAGACATTTCTGTCCGGGGCTCTGGTTTGTTCATGGCAGGACAGAAATGATGGATCAATGATTTGAGCTGAACTGGAATGATTCCTGCCCAAGTTGCTGCAGTGCTATTGGGCACAGAATTCAATTTCTCAATGATTGCCATTTATAGAACATTTGAACAGATTGGTATGAGGAAAATACATAAAAGATTCTCCCAAAGAGCTCAAGCACTTAAATAACTGAGAGCAGTGTAAATATTTTGCAAATCCTTGAAACTGGCTGTGGTGTGGAAATGCTTCATTATTGTCCCTGTTTCCCTAGAAACATAACTAGCTTTAAACTCCTGACTCCTCCATCATTCCAGAATTCTAATGATAAAGTAAATTGGGGAGTAAAGTACCTCAGACAGGAAAAGAAACCAGATTTTCTTATTGTGTGATTAAAGATTGTGTGGGAAGGAAGGCTCAGTTGAGGCACCAAGCCCTAGGGAGTGCAAGTCAACTCACTGGATGTACTTTCACACTTCCTTTAACCTGTTATCTGGCTGGTAAATCTCAGCAAGGTATGATTGAGCTGGAAACTATTATTTGAGAGTCAAACATCCAACTGACAGGAGGATGTGTTCCAAAAGTCAGGTTTCTGCAGGCAGCAGCAAAGGGGCCTCTGCCAGAGCCCAAGGGACTGAACCTGTCCTGGCCTTGCTAAGGGAGGAGGCCTGGGGCTATCCACAGGGATCTTCCCATACACCACATGGAAAATTCCTGCTCAAAAATAAATCCTAGACTTGGGAGGGACACAGAGTAGATGGGGCTCATAGCACAGAGCTGCTTTATTCTGTTCCCATCTGTAAAACATTTGTATGTCTATTATTTATATCTACATGCTCATATATTTACACGCACATACTTGTATTTATAGATTTATAGGTTATTATTCCTCTTGCTGATTTTGTAAGAATATATGTTCTGATCATAGGGGCAAGCCACAGCTTCCAGTAAGGTCAGAGATTTGACTGTGCAAGCCTTAAAGATCAGTTTAAACGTTAGTTCTGGATCTAATTAGAAAACAAGGAGCTCTCTTAGTACCCTCCTGATAGATCCTTGTATTTGGGCTTTCCTGATCCTACCAGTGGTTTCATACTCAGTTTTTCTTGACAGGATTTCTCAGAGCCTGAAGATCTCTGGTTGGGTTCAGTGAGAAAATCCGACTGTTACTGTATGAGGGCAAACCCTGCAGCCTTTGGTTTGTGGAGCTGCTGCCAGGGAGGCATTTTTAACACTTGGTTCTCATGGCAACTCTCAAACCATGGAAACCCCTTTGGAGCCCTGGCTCTGGCTGCCCTGGCTGGTCACACAACTTTAAGGGACTAAAAGGGGATTTCTCACTAGTTTTGACAGTTTGTGGCACTTTCATAAAGGACTGTGTTACCCATGTTTGTGTGTACCAGGCAGTCCCTTCCCAGGCAGTCCTGGCTGTTACCTAAACTAAGAGCTATGGTTTTCCACCAGACTCTGACGCCCATATTCAGCTTTAAACCTTCCTTTTATTAAAAACTAAAGTTTGTGCCAACTGACTGTGTTTTGGGCAGCCTACCACCAGCAAAGCCAGTGACTGAAGTGCTTTCTGAGTGCCTTTTCATGATTTCCTAATGGATTCAGCTTTAATAACTGATAAAATCTGGTGACATGATTTTTAACAGCATTTTCAACAGAAAGGAGTTGTTGGAATTTGTTTAAAATCTTTGCATGTGTGTGTGTGAGCACTGTGAACTTTTGGGTACAGCTGTGATTTTTGATAGTCTGACATCAGGTTGTGGGAAAGAACCGAACTAAGATTGGGAATGTTGTCAGAAAATGTTGATTAGGGAGGCTGTGGGTGCCTTTGATCCCAACCCTGCGCGGGTTGCCAGGGCTGGGAGCACAGGTGTGTGCCAGGGAAAGGTGTTCCCTGGAGCCAGGCTTGGCAGAGCTGCAGGAGCGTGGGCTCCTGAACTGAGCTATTAGGAGTAATTGCAGCATGCAGAAACCTCTCTTTAGGCAGTACTAAAACAGCTCTGAGAGTCAGCTCCAGTGCTCCTGAGACTACGTGTTCACTGTCACTTGTCCTTTATCGTGGAATCATGGAATGCTTTGGGTGGGAAGGGCCCTCAGAGCTCATCCAGTTCCACCCTCTGCCACAGGCAGGGAAACCTTCCACTAGAACAGGTTTATCCAAGCCACTCCAACCAGACCATGAACGCTTCCAGGGATACAGCAACCACAATGTGGAAACACTTAAAGAAATTCCAAGGTTTGCTGGGATTAGCACTCCAAAGTGTTATACATGATGTGAAACCTAACAGAAATTGTTACAAGGAGATTTTCCTGCATGAATTCTCATACTTAACTTGGCTGCTGTTATTTTTCATGGTTATGGTGGGCTGGTAAATGCCAGAAATATCACAGGAGCAGCTTCCTTTCCTCTTGCTTTTTGTTACAGGCACAGTGAGTCAGAGTTTTCTTTTCTCATTCCTTGAGTCGGTGGTGGGCTGAGAGGGAAATCTGCTTTGTCACCTCCGTGGTTCCACTTCTGTGCCAGGAGTGCCAGAGCCTGGCAGGACTGTGCACAAAGGCACCAGGGGTAGCAGTGGGCTGCTCTAGCTGTACCTTGCAAATGGAAATATCGCTGAGGGTCTAAACCCTGCAGGTGTCAGAATCCTGATCCTGAGCAAATCCCCTCGGAGAACCCGGTCCACTGATTTCTGGTTCTTGTCTTGAATTTCTCTCCATACAGCCATTTCACCCTCTTATCTTCATCAAACCTCCTGAAAATGTTGTATTATCCTTCTGGAGATGATTCTTTTTCAGATGGAGCCATAAACCCCGGGATTTGGGGCCTTGGGAAGCGGGAGAGCTCAGAGCGCTCCCTGCCGGGCCGGCTGTTAAACACAGCCATCGACTCCAAGGCATGAAATAAAAATAAAAACCTGCCAATTTTTGTATTAATGAACCTGTCCTTTCCTTGTACGAACCGTGTCCCAGGCCCGAGGCTTTAATTTCATTTTGAGAGTGTTTTGAACAGTTTGTGTCACAAATCCTACTTGTTATTTCCTTGATTGCCATCAGAGGATGCTGAGCCGAATGGAAGGCCACACTGTCTGAGCCAGATAAATCCTGTCCCTGGTCCGGAGCTGTGGGACACACCACTGTAGAAGGATCACAGCATTCCCTTATGATGGCACTGCGAATGTGTCCCACCTGAAAGAGAGAAGCAGGAGACTTAGAAATGTTCCCAACAAACAGCCTAGAGCACAAATGGCTCCTTTCTGGGATTACAGACATTCTTCCGAGTTAAACTGTGCCTAAAGAAGGTATTTGATCCCAAAGTCCATTATAGCTGACTAGTGCTAGGGGGCTTGAGACAGTCAGCATTGGTTGTTAAGAGAGAGAAGTAAAAGGGATCGGAAGGCAGAAGAGTCCTGTTGTGACTCCAAGGACAGGCGGATTTACTTTGACTTTACAAACCCTTGTTTCCCATGGAAATATTTTCTCTGACTCATCCCTTTCCTGCTGTGCTGAGAATTCAGTTTGGATTGTAACATGGAACAGTTTGATGCATTTTAAAATAATACCTTGTTATCCAAAACGGTGATGTTTTACCTGTCCTGACTCTTTTTGCAAACCAAAGTGTGAGTGTAAAGCAGCGTGACAGGATAAGAAATGTTGGTGATTTAGGAGGTGTTCAGGAAACAATGAAGTCTCTGAGACCCACCCAAAGTCTGGGACAGGGCGGCAGTGGAATCACTCCCCTGCTATGTGGCTGACCCTGTTCAGCAGCTTCCTCAGCCCTGCAAACCAAACACTGAAATGCAGATTTCTAAGTTTGAAATGATTGAGCTATTTCACCCGTTTTCTTCCTCTGTTGAGCCCAAATAAGCTGAGTGTGGTACACCAAGTGGGGCAGGTTTAGTAACAACGCTTGAACCTTGCCTGCACCATGCCCTTCTCCACTCAGAGTTCCACACAGCATGGAGCTGGGAATGAGCCTATGGAATAAGAGAGAACACTCCTCCATGTGGAACTTTCAGGTAAAAGACCTGAGCTCAGATTTTCCAACAGGAGGAATAATCCCAACAACTGAATGTTGGGTTAGTAGAACCTTCACAGTCCTCGCTCATTTCCTGATCTAACCCTTCACTTTAACTGAACAAGATTAGACAGACCTCTCATGCAGAAGCTAGGAAAGGGCTGCTTGGAGAGGATTGATTTCTTGTTCAGCGACTCTAAGGAAAGTGGTTTTGATTTGACAAAATTTTCATGAAATTTTCAGGTTAATTAATCCTGATTTTTCGCTTCAGCTGCTGAAATGGCAAATCAACCCCTTGCAACATATGCTATGAAGAACGGGTTCCCCCATCCCTTTCTCTTCCCCATAGGTGTCACCGTTGAGTTTAATGTGGATGTGTTTATTCCTCTCCAGGATTTTATCCAGTCATCATATGATTTAGGATTCACACATTTCTTTGGAGCCATATTACATAATTCATACAACCTTAATTTCTTTGTGTATCTGACTTGTTACACCTAAATGTAAATAGAATATTAATATACCAAATAGACTGCTGGACACAGAGTTTTCTTTGCAATGCAGAAAGGTAAATCTTTATTTGAGGGATTGTTGTTCAGTAGAGAACCAAGTGCACTTCAGAGACCTGTGTGTAAGCACAGTGGTCACAGTGATGGACAGTATGAAAAGGGAGGAGTAGATAGTTTAAAGAAAAGCCTAGTAATTATTAATTTTGATTTCATTAATAGCATTTGGAGAGCCATCTGTGCGTGGGGTAGGTCACAGCGCGTGTGGGCTCCCATGGCACTGACTGGATCAGGGAAGCCCAATGTGTCGGTGGGATCTTAACACACTCTTGACTGCCCTGTGGAAAGAAAGAAGAAATCATTGCTCTGATAGGGAAACCAAGAGTCTCTTTGCAGCACTGACTTTTCAGACTCATCCACTATTTAAATATCCATTTGTTAACAAAAGCATGGGAAAGGAGCTTAACCTGTCTCTGGAATTGGAGCCAAACCACTTTGAAATTAAGAGCTTTGATTGTGAATGGTTTAATCCCTGCTGCAATTGAAGATGTGGAAGTCATAGCACAAAGTTGGTATTAACAGGAAAAGGGATGAAACACAAAATGTGAAAGCCTTAAGTTTGGATGCTTTTTGGAAGATGTTTCTTGTTACTAGATTGACCATGACAGTAGGAACTAGAAGAGTGGGAAGACATACCTCCTCCTTGGATTGCTCCTTGACATGATCTGTAAAAGGAAAGGAGTTTTAATGAAGGGAACAATAAATACATACTGACATCATGTGCAGTGCAGGTAACAGCTCAACTTTTCCTGGATCTTGCAAATATATTTTTATATCTATTTTTTCATTTCAATCCCTTCAGCTGTATTTTCCTAGAAAATTGTAAAAGCAGAGACAGCAAAACACTGTTGCAGTATAATTCTTGTACTCTCACAGTCCAGTTGTGCTTGTTTCTCTGCTGACAGAAGGAAATTCATTACAGTTTGGTTTGGCATGGTGATTCCTCTCATGGAATTCACTCTGCACAAACAGGTCAAGAGGAACTTATTAACTCAAAACCTGTCAGTAACAATCTGCTCTGTGTTTCCTTTGGTATTTGATGTGCTTAGGAAGTTTTTGATAGACACATTTCAATGCAGATGCCATGAAAAAAAGTCGCTGAATTTAAATTCAGCTACAGACAAGTAAAATATTCTGCTCTGTCTTCTGTGAGTGCCAGGAGAGAAAAGCTTGTGATAAAATTTGTGCCCTTATTTGCAAACAGACAACATACACAAGATCCTGCTGCCCCTCCTGCAGCAGTGCCCGGTACTGCTGGATCTCCTGCTCCAGGCGCATCTTGATGCCCAGCAGCATCTTGTACTCCTGGCTCTGACTCTCCATCTCACAGCGGATGCTGGCCAGCTCCTCCTCGATGCAGTTTATCTGCCCCTGGATTTGTTGGAGCATGCGGCCGTAGCGAGAGTCGGTTTCTGCCAGAGAGTTTTCCAGAGAGCCTTTCTGGAAAGGCAAACACAGGAGTTGAGGAGCAGAGTTCTACAGCTCCCTGCCCGTGCCAAGGAGGGAAGGGCCCGCAGATGCTGCCCACGCACCGTGCTGAGCTGCGCCTGCAGTTCGATCTCCAGGTTCTGCATCTCGCGCCTCAGCTCGGTGAGCTGGTGGCTGCTTGTCTGGATGTCCTGGCTGCTGGAAGTGACCTGCTGATTGACTTCTTGGATCTGCAGAGTCAAACCCCAGAGACACTTTCTGAGCCACAGCAGCTCCTCAGGGAGCAGATTTGCTGAGCGAGTGCTCACATCTCCAGGGAGCCTCTCCCTTTCAGCCAGTCCCGGTACCAGGGTGTCAGGGCCGTCCCACCCAGTTCCCACTCTGGGCATTGCTACATACCTTGACCTCATACCACTGCTCCACCTCCTTGCGGTTCTTCGCAATGATCTGCTCATATTCATCTCTCAGGTCATTCAGGATCTTTGTCAAGTCTTCTCCAGGGGCAGCATTGACCTCCACGCTCACATCGCCACCAGTTTGGGACTGGAGCTGCCTCATTTCCTGCAGGGAGTCCAGAGAGAGACACAAGAGCACACACAGGTCATTTGTTGTGCTGGGGACTGTGGGCAAAGCAGTCCAAGGTACAAAGGAATGACAGTCCCATGGTGTGAATAAATATATATATTATATAATGAATAAGGTGAAATTGATTTGATATGTGATGGTGGGAGCCGTGAAGAAGCAATGCATTCTGTCTTTGGCTGTGCCATCTATCAGTGGATCGTACCTCCTCATGGTTTCTCTTCAGAGCAATCAGCTCATCCTTCAAGGTCTCCAGCTCAGATTCCAGTGAAGACCGGGTGGTAGTGAGACCATCCATGAGATTTCTCAGGCCATTGATGTCAGACTCCACGGTCTGACGGATGACCAGCTCATTCTCATACCTGTACCAAGGGAAAGCAAAGCATTGCACATTCATTTCATTATAATGTGTAGGCTTGATCATATTGCTTTAGACAGGGCTTCATCCACTTGGTTTCATGAGTCTCATAAAATTTGTGACACAAAAGAGGCAAGGTTTGCAGGGAGGTACTCACTTCATTCGGAAGTCATCGGCAGTCATCTTGCTGTTATCGATGTCCAGAAGCATTCTGTTGTTGTCCACAGTGGCAGAAATAATCTGCAAAAGGGGAAGGGGGAGAGGAGTATTTCTGTGTTCTAGATTTGCAGGACAAGCAGAAAGAAGATACAAAGCTTTGGTAGAGTGTTACTGCTGGTCTTGGAATTATTTTATGGAGAAGAGCAGGGACCACAGACATTTCCTGAATTGCCATGACACAGGGACTGATGTGTGCGAGGTTTTGGCTTTCCAAAGATTTTGATGGAAGAGTATATTGATGAGGGAAAGAACAGAAGAACATTTATGTTGGGAAATGACCAATCCCCAATGGTTTCTGCTTTCTGGGTATAGGAGGCACTCTGGGCTTTGCCCTGATGCTCTAAGTCATCTCTTTATGAAAAATGTTGATTGTAAGGGAAGACCTGAGTCCTTCTGTTGTAGTTGATAGCCTGAAATGTATCTTTTCCCATCTTTTAGTTGTGATTCCCCCCCAGCTTCTCTTTCTCCTGTTTACCTGGCGTCAAGTTACCATGGTTACTGAAGTTTCTCTCCTCAGCCCCACGGCGAGAGGCCGGGTAGAGTAAAGAGAGGACCCCGCTGGCATTTCCAGCTGCTTGAAGTTTCTTTAGCCCAGGAAAGCACGGGGCTGGGAGAAGAGAACTCTTCTTTCCTACACGGAAGTTTGTAACTTTTTCCTGTCCCAGAATGCCTCTAAACTATGGAAGCTGAGAGGGCATGCTTACCTTGCCTTCCCTTTCTTTCCCCCCTGTGTTGCCAGGAAACCAAGCCCCCCCTCTCTCCCCCTCTGCCCCTCTGTATAGAATACTCCCACACCTTTGTGGGCATTTGAAGAAGTTGGTGTCTGTTATTTTTTATCTTGGCGTGTGTAACCTTGATTTGTAGAAAGTTTGTAAAATGTACTAACTGAGAAAATAATTGGTTCCCTCTCTGATGTTCCCTCCCTCCGAGAAACCCTGTTAAAAGAGACCCCCC